GTTAAAAGATTCATTCATGTCTCTTTCTTCCGTAATAATACATAGTTTCAAAAGGTCCCTGATACATCTGGAGTTACCTCACAGCATATCAGTGCTCCTCTGATCAGTACCAGCATGTAGTATAGGCATATAGACATGTTATTCTGATACAGGTGTGATACCATCACTGTATTTTGTGATCTATTTTTCGACAATACCTACAATTCCAACTTGTGCTTTTTGCAAAGGTGTTTGATATCCATCTCCCCCTATCTCTTGCATCCTCTCCTGTCACACCAACCCTCTCTGCTTCCTCTTTCACTCCATCCATCCATCTCTTACTCTTTTACTCCAAACTCTTTTGTCTCCAAATCACTCCACTTCCTCTGATGTACTCATTTGTAATCTTGTCCATCCTGGTCACCCTCAATAAAAATCTTAGCATCTTCATCAGCTCTGCCGCTGTCCTGTCTGATGCACGCTTTGCAGGTTTTCTGTTTGTAACTTTTTGCAGCTCACTTTTTTTCCCACACTGTTAGAAGCATTGACGTGTCAGTGTGCAGTGATGAACACTACGGCAGTAATATTTTACAGTTTTTTGAGATTTAATTACACTGCAATCAAAAGCAATTAAATGTCTGTGCTACAACTCCCAAAATAAGAGGGGTGTTTTTCCAAATACGCATCAGTGACAACAGAATTAAATCGTAAATCAGTTTCTGACAGGGGCAGCTGCCATGCTGACAGAGGGCACATATAAATGATAGAACTGTACTAAAAAGCAGGAAAGAAAGAGGGGGCAGCATTTGTAGCACATGGTTGTCATGGCTCAACACTTCACCAATAATAACAGAGATCATGTCTTCCAGGGCCTTCTGGCATCACTCTCCTCTTTCCTGATTTCAAACCAGCAGCTGTTTGTTCGTTTTGCTCAACCATCTATCAGATCTCAGACTTATTAGGTGTCAGGAACAGTGTGCTTAATCATCACTGCAAGTCTTGTTTTCTTTGTGTCGTTTTGAAAAATGAAAAACAGAAAATGCAGACCTGACTTTATTCCAGGTGATTAATTCTGCTATTGCTGCTTAAGCTAGGCTTGGGATTCGCTGACTGATCCCTGTAGGCAACAGTGATTACAGTATTTCCACTGTTTGCTCACTCTATCATATGTTCATGCTTTCAATAGTTTGTCACTGCAATATTAACATTAGATTGTTAATGAATGGCAGCTAGATGAGAACAAAGAATAGCTCTCAGTGGTACTGAAAACAGGTGAGCTTGATCAGTTGGTAAACCTCCTGAAATAGTTATGTGCTGACATTTTGGAGGAACTGCTTGACTAGCATTAATTTCTGATATTTTTCTCCTCCATTTGTGCTATTGAGTTTGTCTGTCTTTTCTGTGTTACTTTTACACTGAGTGTATGTGCTTCACACATCAACTGATTACTACTCCCCCGGTTTAGTTCAGTCATTTCATTAAAAAAGTGCACAGACTTCAGTGAACAAAAGACATTTTCTCTGCCATTTTAATTAACTTATCACCATTTATCTATCTGTTTACATCTCTTTTTAGTGATGTTTAATATCACAGGCCCCAATCTAGTCAAATCTTTTGAAAACTTTGACATAATCTCCTGAAGACATCTGTCATTTATCCTTGGATTATACAGATATATGAAATACCACATTTATTTACAGACCAGTCAATGACAAATACAAAAAGATTGTAAAGTTTTTTCACCTTTCTTTGTTGAAATTGTTTGTTGCTCATTATAACATTATGAAAGCAAAAAGGTTTTATTGAAGCTGGTAGAAGAGAATGCTGTTCAACTAAATAATTTGCACAAATGTTCTTTCAACTGAATCGGCAATTTTCGAAACAGGAAACTGTGGTCCCATAGATCCAGTTTTTCCTTAACAATTAGGAAAGAACAGATGATGCTAATTAAAGTCAAACTGCATAATCATTGCCCTGAAATATTCCCAGAAATACTCAGTTACAATGTGGTGTTTAAATGATGCTATTTTCAGTTATATTCACTATTCAGATCTAACTTGACAAATCAAAGCCTATGACCAATATGGTATTATCAAACAACAAGTAATGCACTTTATAGCAATAGGGTTTTTAACTTACTATAACTATAATGAGCCACATGACTGCAACAGCAGCGTATTAATACAAACACTGCTTTTAAAAGCTCGTTTGATGTGTTACGGTTGGTTGTGTCATGTCTGTCATGCCTCTAGTATACAGTGGTTATGAGTATATAATTATGTCTTCTGTTTCTCTCTTTCCTCCTGCCTTCATACCTGTCATAATCATTGTTTTGGAAAGACACGACAGCAGAAAGGACTTTTAAACGGATGGATTTAATAAATAGAGTTTCTCAGCATTATAGCCTACCTTTCCTGTAGCCCTGAGCCGTTGCTAGCTCTATTGCCTCTGGGTACAGACAGAGCCTGGGGACTGTGGCGCCACACAAACACCATTATCCTCCGTCAGCTCTCCTCTCATCTTCTTATCCTCCTCTCTCTCTCTTAGCCATGATCGTTTCCCCCCACCTATCCTTTTCTAGCCCAGGTGGTGGACTGTGAAATCATATCCTCGTTATTGGGCCTTCTGTACGATGCCTTGCAGCATCCTGGGCCAATCCACACAAGTGATCATTTCTCACAAACTGTTGGTGGGGGTGAAAGAAGAGGAGAAAGCAGTGCGGCTGGAGGCTTAATGCACTCAATGTATCTCACATCTGTGCCTGTCAATGTTGCTCTAGAACAGAATGGGAAGAATAATATGCATGTCACCTACACAAAGCTGGGCAACAAACAAATTGCAGTGCATAACAAATTACCAAAGCCATTTGGTGACATTATTTGTATGACAAAGCATGTTAGCTGAACAGACTGGGAGACCTATAATGAGATTTAAAGAGGCACATTGCGTAACGCCAAATTATCTTGAAACACCAACCTCCAATTTTCTCTGTAAGTGAAAATTAAAAAGAAGAGAAAAGAAGAGGAGGGGTGGCGAACCCAATGGTGAACGCAACTCTGGTGACACTTAAACTATTAGATGAATCAGATCAAGAAAATTTACCTGATCCCCTGTGTTATTATTCTTCCCTTAGGGGCTACAGGTTAACTCAGGATTCTGGCCTTAAGCTCTCAGTGTTTGTCTGTTCATTAAAGCCAAGACAGGTTGCCTGCTTAACTTGGACTGAACAGAGTTCAATTATTTCCCAATCAATACTCTATACAGGTACCTCATTGTAGCTCATATATAATCAATTTGCCACAGAGCATTACAGCTGAACTTCACCTCTTTAGCTTTTACACAAAACATGCTTTCACGCCTGTCACAGGGAATTGAGCCAATGTGCTAAATGAATTCTTCAGCTAAATATTCCCAACAGCATCAGCTGTGTAGAGACAGCATATGCTGGCTGCTTTGTACAAACAATAATAGAGCGTGGGACAATAGATCATTTTTCATAAAGTAAAAGTGAAACACTACTCAAAATCTATCTTTTCAGTTCCAAACACACACCTTATCTCAGCTGAAAGGGAGGCTATATATGAGGTTTTATTCCTGTTAAAGGAGTAAAGCAGAAATAGTGAGTTTAATTTTAATGTGTGGCGTGTTTTCATGCTTAAAAGGAATATCAATAGAAACATCTTAACTTGTGATCTGTCAACCGAGTCTTGTGGCAGTTTTTGATACAGTCACAACCTGCAGTCTATTGATTTTGGTTGCTGGACACTACTATTGAGTTCCTCATAACAAATCTGGCATCATCATTTCACGTCAAATTATTATCTCAAATTTTTTATTTAAGAACTCAAAACTTCAATTTATTTCCGTCAATTTTGAGTTCTTTTGTCAGAAGTATGTGTTAGTATTTTATCTCTTGCCTAATTATTGTAACTCCCTACACCTCTGTGTCCGACTGTCTCTTTCAACACGATTGCAGATGGTGGAGAATTTGGCACCTTGACTGCTGACAGGTGCTAAAAAATATGGGCACATCACTCCAGCCCTGCCTTCTCTGCATTGGTTTACTTTTTTAGGATTCAGTGTAAGATTTTACTCATTGTTTTTAAGGCTGTTAATGTGCAGCCTCCAGCTTATATTACTAGTATTATTTGCTTTCTCAGATGCACTGGTAAAGATCTCTTACATGTTCCAAGATCACACCTTAAGCAAAATGGTGACAGAGTGTCTGCAGTCACTGCTTCAGGATTGTGGAATCCGCTACTGCCGGATATAAAAAGAGCATCTTCCATCTCTGCTTTTAAGTCAGGGCTCAAATCTCACTTTTATTCTCTGGCCTTTTCAACCCACCAACCTGTCATTTGTTGTTATATGTGTAAATCTAAGGATTTAAGAGTTTATTTATGTTCTAATTCTGTATTATTTAGTCATAAGTACTAGTGATGTGTCGGTCGCGAACAAAATGGCTCTTAGAGCCGGATCTTTGATGTGAACGACGCGAGCCGGCTCCTTACCGCGAGCCATGTTTTTTATTTTTTTTTCTCTCTCACCCTGTGGAGGTATGTAATAACGACAGGAGAGGTCTCAGTGTCTCACTCCAACTTTATTAACTGACTCTCAGAACCTCACATATAGTAAGCGCCAAAATCTCCACCCCAGCACTTCCCTTCAACTTGGGTGTGAGTGGAGCCACCTGGTGGTCCGCCACACATACACCCGCCCCGAACATACAGTTAGGTCTCTATTCAGTCCAGGACCCTGGGCCTAAGCAAATGACCCGAATAACTGAACCTGGGAGGGTAAGAGATCTGTCATGATCGCTGCGTGGCAGGCAGGATGAGGACCCAATCGCAAAACTCACAGACTCAGGGGATGAACTCAAAAAACAGCTTTATTGCTGAAGAGGCAGAATAGTCTTTGTCTCCACGGTATCATCCGCTAGTTTCCCGATGAATCCCACAACCGCTTCCGTAAACACGTTGACGTCATCGTCGGAGCTGTTTCTGAACATGCCCCAGTCTGCGTCATCGAGTGCGTCCTGTAACGCGGCCACCGATTGGTCCGTCCAGCGCGCGACCTTCCTCTGAACCGGAACTTCCTGTTTCAGCCTTTGTTTGTATTTTGGCATGAGGAATGATGGCGGCGTGATCAGATTTGCCAAACGGGGGGCGGGATTGTGCCTTGTAGCCGTCCTTGACCGTAGTGTAGCAGTGGTCCAGTGTCCTTTCACCCCTGGTGGGGCAGGTGATGTGTTGATAAAAGTTCGGCGCTGCGCGTTTGAGGTTGGCGCTATTAAAGTCCCCCGTCACAATAAGCGCAGCGTCCCGGTGTTGTGTCTGGTGCTGTGTGAGTGCCTCATGCAGCTCGCATAAGGCGGTGACCGTGTCCGCTTGTGGTGGAATATAAACGGCACTTACAATGACCGATGTAAATTCCCGAGGTAGATAAAAAGGACGACACATGATGGACAGTAGTTCCAGATTTGGTGTGCAGGAGCGTGTGAGAGGAACAACGTTCGCACTGTTGCACCAGTTGTTGTTCACCATTAAACACACGCCGCCTCCCCTTGACTTCCCCGAGTCCCGTGTCCTGTCCATGCGGTGAACCGAGAAGAACTCGGCCGGCTGGATGGCGTGGTCCGGCACCGCTGGGTTCAGCCATGTCTCGGTGAAGCAGAGGAGATTGCAGTCCCGAATGTCTCTCTGGAACTTTATCCTGGCCCTGAGGTCGTCAAGCTTGTTCTCCAGTGACTGGACGTTGGCGAGCAGGATGCTAGGCAGAGGTGTGCGGTGTGCACGAGCTCTCAGCCTGTTCCTGACGCCGGCTCGCTTCCCTCTAGGCCGCCGCCGCTTCCCTTTGTTCTCCCTCGAGATCTCACTCGGCCAGCTCGGATCCGGAGTTAAAAACTTCGAATTGTGAGTACATTGTATACCAATAGAAACAAGAGTGTCACTGTCATACCTAATGTACCCAATGGTGATGATTTTGCCGATTTAGAAACGCTG